GTGGCTCACCTTCAGATACCGGAATCAGAAAGATCCACGTGCAAATCCTAGTGCATTTCTTTGACCTGGAAACTCTCTCAGGGACTGAACATTTCTTTTCCTGTGGTTTTAAAAAGGTGAATTCTCCACTGATCTGTCTACTCTCCGTGTTAACTGGGGGCTTGTGCCTTTGAGATAAGAATACAGATCTAGAGCTGCTTCTCATCTTCTTTTTCTAGTGTTCTTTGAAGGAACTAGTCTGAAATGTTTTTGTCAATTGTGTAACTAAACAGAATATGAATTCTGTAGGAATGTAGTGATTCAGTAGAATTACTCATGTCATTCTTGTGTCAATGGTTGGTGTTACCTTTAAAGAAGAATGTATTTCTTTCTTATGATGTATTTCATTTGTCAGAAATACCTTCATTGATTTGTTTCTTCCTCTTTTTTAAAAAAAATAATTTTATTGGCTTCAATGCATTTCATTTGGAATTTACCATAAAGGAATTGTGTTTTTGTTTCCAATATTGGTATTAGTTTGGGAAGAAACCCCCTCAAGTAATCATTTGGGAGTGGAAAACTCATAATTTTTCATGACTTTTTTTGTGCCTATCAACTCCTCTCCAGATTTTGGATCTGTTTAAGATGTGAATGCAGATCAGTTCAGTGTTGTCCGCTGACTTCAGTATTGGCCACATAAATAGAGATTCCATTTCAGCCCAAGAACAGATTGTGTGTGAACTTCCTGATTTACTTCAGCTCTAAAAACACATAAAGTCATTTGACTGGGGTGATTGGATATTATTCAACATTATAATTTTCAGTAGGCTGACTATCAACTTTCTTTGTACCCTGAATATGAACAATAGTAAGAAAGAGAGATGAATTTTCACAGTATAGTATACTAAATTTGTACAAGTTGTATAACTTAAAATGATAAATGAGGAAGGATAGTGTGTAACTGACTTGTCACAGTAAGAAATTGATCCCCAGATTTTTTTTTTTTTTTGCAAAAGATTACATTTCATCAGTGTAGTATGTTAACTGTGGTATTGACATGAGTCTTTAGATTTAACTGACTATGTTTCTTTACTGATATCTAAAATGTTTGACCATACATGTGTCCTAGACTACTGTAAATGTTATATTTGTAGTTCTTCTCTTTATTTAAAAATAAAACTTTTGAAGAATTATGTTTAAAATTCAGTTGCAGCCATGTATCATATCAGATAGCCCTTGTTGAACTGCCAAACTGTAAAACATTTGTGGCGTTTCTGTTAAAATGATATAAATGCAGATTGTTCAAGCAAATGACATGTATTAGTTATAAAAGGATAATTGGATAAAGTCTGTAGAGAGCAGAAAGCTTACAGAGAAACATAAGTAATAGTGACATGATGGGGAAAAAATATTGCAGATTACCAAGAAGCAGCAGCTCTGGGAATTTATTTTAAGGTAGGGGTGGGGATGTTTTGTTGAAGGCTTTCACGGCCGGCATACAATGACTGGTGTGGGTCTTCTGGGCTGTGTGGCCATGTTCTGGAAGTGTTGTTTCC